TAATTGCTCTGGCCAAAACCTCCAGTACTATGTTGAATAAGAGTGGTGAGAGTGGGCATCTTTGTCTTGTTACTGTTCTCAGAGGGATGGCTTCCAGTTTATCCCTGGTGTGTATGATGTTGGCTGTGGGTTTGTCATATATGACCTTCATTATGTTGAGGTACTTTCCTCTATAACCATTTTATTGAGAGTTTTTATCATAAATGGACGCTGGATCTTGTCAGATGCTTTCTCTGCGTCTATTGAGATGATCATGTGGTTTTTTATTCCTGATTTTGTTAATGTAATATATAACATTGATTGATTTGCAGATGTTGAACCATCCCTGTGTCCCTGGCATAAATCCCACTTGATCATTATGTATGATCTTTTTGATGTATTGCTATATTCGGTTTGCCAATATTTTGTTGAGGATTTTTGCATCTGTGTTCATCATAGATGTTGGTCTGTAATTTTCCTTCTTTGTGGTGTTCTTGTCTGGCTTGGGGATCAAGGTGATGTTGGCCTCATAAAATGTGTTAGGAAGTGTTCTGTCTTCTTCAATTTTGTGGAATAGTTTGAGAAGGATAGGTATTAAATGTTTGAATGTTTGGTAAAATTCTCCAGAGAAGCCACCTCCTCCTGGACTTTTGTCTTTTGTATTACTGTTTCAATCTCTTTACTTGTCATTGATCTATTCAGATTCTTTTATTTCTTCTTCTTCTTATTGTTTTTGGTGAGGAAGATTGTCACTGAGTTAACGTCTGTTGCCAATCTTCCTCTTTTTGCTTGAGGAAGGTTCTCACTGAGTTAACATCTGTGCCAGTCTTCCTCTTTTCTGTATGTGGGATGACACCACAGCATGGCTTGATGAGCAGTGTGTAGGTTGGTGCCTCTGGTCTGAACCTTTGAACACTGGGCTGCCAAAGCAGAGCATGTGAACTTAACCATTATGCCACTGGGCTGGCCCCAAGATTCTCTATTTTTTCTTGATCCAGTTTTGTGAGGTTGTATGAGTCTAAGAATTTATCCATTTGTTCTAGATAGTCCAATTTGTTGTCATATAGTTTTTCATAGTGTTCTGTTATAGTCCCTTATATTGCTGTGGTATCTGTTTTAATTTCTCCTCTTTTATTTCTAATTTTATATATTTGAGCCTTCTCTCTTTTTTTCTTAGTGAGTCTGGCTAAGGGTTTGTCAATTTTGTTTGTCTTCTCAAAGAAGCAGCTCTTAGTTTCATTGATCCTTTCTACTGTCTTTATGGTTTCAATTTAATTTATTTTATGCTCTAATTATATTACTTTCCTCCTTCTGCTGACTTTGGGCTTTATTTGTTCTTTTTCTAGTTCTGTTAGCTGTAGTTTAAGATTTCTTATTTGAGATTTTTCTTATTTGTTAAGGTGGGCCTGTATTGCTATGAATTTCCTTCTTAGTGCTACTTTTGCTGCATCCTTTATGAGTTGGTACAGTGTATTTTCATTTTCATTTTTCTCCAGATATTTTTTGATTCTCCTTTGATTTCTTCCATGATCCATTGGTTGTTTAGTAACATGTTCTTTAGTCTCCACATATTTGTCACTTTTTTCTTGTAGTTGATTTCTGGTTTCATAGCATTGTGTTTGGAAAAGATACTTGATATAATTTCAATCTTCTTAAATTTATTGAGGCCTGCTTTATTTCCTGACATATGGTCTATCTTTGAGAATGTTCCATGTGCTTTTTTTTCTTTTTAAAGATTTTAAAATTTTTCCTTTTTCTCCCCAAAGCCCCCCAGTACATAGTTGTATATTTTTAATTGTGGGTCTTTCTAGTTGTGGCATGTGGGATGCCACCTCAGCATGGCTTGATGAGCGGTGCCATGTCTGCGCCCGGGATCCGAACTGGTGAAACCCCGGGCTGCTGAAGCAGAGCGTGTGAACTTACCCACTCAGCCATGGGGCCAGCCCCTTACATGTGCGTTTGAGAAGAATGTGTATTCCTCTAATTTTGGATGGAGTGTTCTATATCTATCTACTGTGTCCTTCTGGTCTAGTTTTTTGTTTAATTCCACTGTTTCCTTGTTAACTTTCTGTCTGGATGATCTATCCATTGATGTAAGTGGGGGGTTAACTGCCCCTACTATTATTGTATTGCTGTTAATATCCCTTTTAAATTTGTTAATAACTGCTTTGTGTACCTTGCTGCTTTTGGGTTGAGTATATACATATTCATAAGTGTTACATCCTCTTGGAGGAGGGTCCTTTTTATTGTATACTCTTCCTCTTTGTTTCTCATTGTGTTTTTTATCTTGAATTCTACTTTGTCCAATATAAGTATGGCAACACCTGCATTCTTTTGTTTGCCATTAGCTTGGTGTATCGTGTTCCATGCTTCACTCTGAGCCTCTGTTTGTCTTTAGAGTTGAGATGTGTTTCCTGCAGGCAGCATATTGTTGGGTCTTGTTTTTTAATCCATCCTGCTACTTTGTGTCTTTTGATTGGAGAATTCAATCCATTTACATTTAGAGTGATTATTGATATATGAGGGCTTAATACTGCCATTTTTTTCACTTTTTTTTTACAGTTCTGTATTTCCTTTGTTTCTCATCTCTTGTATTTCAGACTGCTGATTCAGTTTGGTAGTTCTCTATGTTGGTTGTCTTAGTTTTCTCTTTATTTATCCTTTGTGTCTCTGTTCTGATCATTTAGTGGTTACTGTGAAGTTTATATAAACATCTCACAGATGGGATAGTCCATTTTCTGATAGCCTCTTGTTTCCTTAGTCTAAGCAGTTTCCATCCCTTTCCTCTTTCCCTTCTAAGTTACTGTTGTCACAGCTTATTCCATCTTGTATTGTGAGTTTGTGGTTAAAATGACGAGATTCTAGTTATTTTTTTGTGGTTTCTTTTCCTTTGTCTTTAATGTCATAATTGGTTGCTAACCTTTTGTCATAGAGAGCTGCAATTTTCTGATTTTGTCTGCCTATTTATCTCCTTGCTCAAGACTTTGTAAACCCTTTCTTTTTTTCTTCAGGTATGAGGGCCTTGATCATTTCTTGTCGGAGGGGGGGTGGTCTTGTGGCAATGAATTCCCTCAGTGTTTGTTTATCTGGGAAAGTTTTTATTTCTTCCTTATATATGAAAGTTATTTTCACTGGATACAGTATTTTTGGCTGAAAGTTTTTGTCTTTCAGAATTTTGAGTATATCATTCCACTCTCTTCTAGCCTGGAAGGTTTCTGATGAGAAATCTGCTGAAGGCCTGATAGGGGTTCCTTTGTAAGTTATTTTCTTCTGCCTTGCTGCCCTTAGTATTTTTTTCTTTGTCATTGACTTTTGACAGTTTCACTACTATATGCCTTGGAGAAGGTCTTTTTGCATTGATGTAATTAGGCGTTCTGTTAGCTTGTTTTACTTGTAATTCCAGCTTCTTCCTCAGATTTGGGAAGTTCTCGGCTATTCTTTCTTTCTTTTTTTTTTTTGAGGAAGATTAGCCCAGAGCTAACATCTGCTGCCAATCCTCCTCTTTTTGCTGAAGAAGACTGGCTCTGAGCTAACATCTGTGTCCATCTTCCTCCACTTTATATGTTGGATGCCTACCACAGCATGGCTTATCAAGCAATGCCATGTCCGCACCCAGGATCCGAACTGGTGAACCCCAGGCCACCAAAGCGGAACATGCACACTTAACTGCTGTGCCACTGGGCCGGCCCCATCAGCATTTATTTCTTTGAATAAGCTTTGTCCTCCTTTGTCCCTATTTTCTCCCTCTGGAATACCTGTAATACTTATTTTGCATTTCCTAATTGAGTTGGATATTTCTCAGAGAATTTCTTCATTTCTTTTTAGTCTTAGTTCTCTCTCTTCCTCAATCTGAAGCATTTCTATGTTTCTGTCCTCCAAATGGCTAATTCTCTCCTCCATAATATCAGCTCTGTTATTCAAGGACTCCATGTTTTTCTTTATTTCATTCATTGTGTTTTCCATCTCCAACATTTCTGATTGGTTTTTCTTTATAGTCTCAATCTCTTTTGTGAAGAATTCCCTCTGTTCATTAATTTTATTCCTGATTTTATTCAACTCTCTCTCTGTATTTTGTTGTAACTCATCGAGTTTTTTAATGGTAGCTATTTTGAATTTTCTCTCATTTAGATTGTAAATTTCTGTTCCTTTAGGATTGATTTCTGGGTGCTTGCCGTTTTCCTTCTGGTCTGGAGTGTTAACATACCTCTTCATCCTATTTGAGGAGGTGGATTTGTGCCTTTGCATATTGGTAAGATCTTGTCACAGATTCTACCTGCTGCCCCTGGGGGCAGGGTCAGGAACTCTGTATTCTGAGCCCTCCACTATCTCTGGCTTCTGTGCCTGCCCTTTGGAATCTATGCCAACAGGGCCCATCTGCAGTTGCCCTCTCTCCACTGCCGCTTTGCAAAGGCATGCGCATGCACTCTGGTGGGCATCCCTTGCTCTGGCCGACTGGCCAAGCTTGTATGCTGGGCAGATGGAGGGGAGCTTTCTTTCATGTGTGTGATCCCAGGGGCGTTCTTGCTCTTCCTTCGCTGTCTACCCTCCTGGGGTGCTGGCTTGATGAACACACCCCCACAATAGCTAAGCCTCCTCTGTGTGGAGCTTTCACATGGCTGGGAGGTAGCCTGGAGAGCAAAGGTGTTCACACAGAAAGCTGCCCCTCCACCCTCTTTTCTCAGAGCTGTGTGCAGTCCTGTGCCCTGGGTCGCTGCTGGGGAGGCAGAGGAGATCCCCTTACCTCCTTCCCCTTCTTCGTGGGGGGTCCAGCACCTCCACCTTCAGATGGTGGCTGTGTGGAATCTCAGATGTCTATTGTGTGTGTGTGAGTGTCCTCTGTTGGTGTATGAATGTCCTTTTTGTTATATCTTAGGGGGGAGAGTCTAAGGGAAGAGCTCCCTCCCCCATGATGCTGACATCACCTCCTCAAAGTAGAGTTTTAAATTTCAAGAAAAAAAATTGCATTTGCTTGGAAAACATTCACAGGCACACATTTCAGTGCTATTTTTACTATTTTTTAGATTTCTGCTCCTAATGAATTTGATGTTATGTTCAAACTGGAGGTCCCCAGAATTGAGCTGGAAGAATATTGCAACAGTGGTGCTCATTACTTTGTGAAGTTCAAAAGAAATCCCAAAGGAAATCCTCTGAGTCAGTTTTTAGAAGAGGAAATATTGTCAGCTTCTAAGATGCTATCCAAGTTTAGGAAAATCATTAAGGAAGAAATTAAACACGTTGAAGGTAAGATTTTTGCCTTTTGATTCTTAAAGGTGTAATTGTACCTACTAATTGCCAGACACTCTTTTCCTGATCTTTCTTGACTTCCCTGAAACAGGCTGTTGACTACTACCTCCTAGAAACAGTTCTTTGCTCTTGGTTTTACTCCACTACATTTTCTTGATATTCTTCCTAAATGTTGATTGGCTCTGTTTTGGTCTCCATTGGATAATCACTGAACTGCTGCCTCTGTCACTGGGTATAAGTGGTTGAATAAAATCGGTGGGCTCTCCTCTTAAAGCCTGACACTTGTAAACACAGATTGCAGTGAGTGCTGTGAAGAGAATGAACTGGGAGGAGTGGTAGCAATTGGAGTGGAGGGGGGGTGAGCCAGGCCCTGAGGCAGAAAAGAGCCTGACAAGCTAAGGGCACAAAAAGAGGCCCATGTGGACAAGGGGAGGAATGGCATGAAAGGAAGTTGAAAAGGCAGCCAGGGGCCATATTCTTCAAGGACTTGTAGATGCTGGAAAGGAGTTTAGATTTTATTCCATGTTCATTGAGAAGCCAGGTTTTAATTAGGGAGTAATGATTGGCTTTGTATTTTTAAAAGTTTACTTTGGCTTCTTTGGAGAAGATATTATAATACAAATAAGGAGATTAGAAAGGAAAATGTTGTAATAGTTCAGGTGAAATAGGGTACAAGTGGGGCATGGGGGATGGGGAGAAGCAGACAGACCCAAACCATAGCAGTGCCTGCTTCTGGATTCAGTGTATGGGGTGAGAGAGAAGACTGGATTAAAGAAGGCTCCCAGATTTTGGATTGAGCACCTGTGTGCATTGATTATGCCATTTTCTAAGATAGGAAGAACTGAGAAGGAGCATATTTTGAGGTATGAATTAAGACTTTGGCTTTGGACATGTGAAGTTAGAGATTCCTGTGATATGTTGAAGTGAATGTGTCAAGTATGTAGTTGGATATAATTTTGGAGTTCAGAGGATATATTTGGGCGGCATGGAAACATATAAATGACATTGGAAATGGATGAGACCACTTAGGCAGAGAGTGTAGATTCATTTGTTCATTAATTTAATCAGTATTCATTGATCATCCAATGTGCTAGGTGTTCGAGGTGTTTCAGATATATTAATGAACAAATAGATGAAGATCCTCACCCTTCTGTACTTATAATCATGTGAGGGCCGACATGCAATTAATAACAGATGGAAACCATAATTACCTTGTAAACTAGAAAGTAATAAGTCTTATGGTGAAAAAGTATAGTAAAGTGAGAGGGATAAGGAGTGTTGGGATAGGGTGGGGGTAAATTGCAATGTTAAGTAGAGTGGTAAGAAGGGATCCCATTCGAGGTTGGGAAGAAGAGAAGGAGCAAAAGGAGGCTATGAGTGTTTTGCAGAAGGAGTGGTCAGTATTTAGAATGCTACTGACATCCAGAAAAACCACTGGATTTGGTCTTCAGTTTTGTGGGGGTTTTGGTAACTATGACTTAGCAGTTTCAATGGGGTCATGAGCACACGAGAGAAAGGGCAGGAATGCAGTAGAAACAGTGTGTGTATGCAACTTTTAAAAAACTTTCGGCTGCAAAGGAAGTAGAAAGATGGGTAAGTGTGGCAAGGAGGCAGATGTAGGGTCAAGGGAGAGGTATGTTTTAGAATTTATTCTAAATATATTTAGTATATTGGAACCCTTTGTACGCAGATAAGAATGATTCAGTAGGGAAGGGGAGGCTGCTGATGCAGGAGAGGGAAGAACTGAAGGAGCAAGGTGCTTGAGAAGGTGAGGAGGAGGGATCCAGAGACCATGTGCAGGGGGTCCTTTAATAGGTGGACAGACACTTCCTCGGTGGTAGCAGGAGGGAAGAAATAATGGGTAAGAGGTGTGTAGGTTTGCAGATTTTGTGATTAGAAAATGAGAGTGTTTTCTAGGATTTTCTCCGTGGTGCTCTATCTTCTGTCTCACTGTGGTTCCTTCCAGACGTCTTATCTGGGAGTAATCTCTAACTGTTGCTTATACAACCCCAAATTCAGTATCTCTCATCTAGAGGCCTTTCCTGAATTTCTGACCACCATGGGCACCTGCCCAGTGGCCATCTCCACTTGAGTGTCCTACAGGCACCTAGAGCTTGGTGTGTCTACAGTGAAGTTCATCTCAACCCTATCTTTCTTCTTCTTGCTTAGTCTGTATTGAAGAATCGCATCAGCGTCAGCCATTTCCCAGGCCAAAATCCTAGGATGGCATCCCAGTCTCCTACTTTATTCCTTACCTCACAGATTCAGTCCATCTACTAGGTCTGTTAATTTGAACTTCTTTAATTGCTTTCACTTATGCTACTTGTGTCTTTTTTTAAGAAATAAAAATGGTATATATTTAAGGTGTACAACATGATGTTTTGATATATGTATACATAGTGAAATGATTACCACAGTCAAGCTAATTAGCGTATCTTCTCACATAGTTACCTTTTTTTTAATGTGTGGTGAGAGTAACTGAAATCTACTCTCTCAGCACATTTCCGGTATTCAATATGGTTGTATTAATGATGGACCTCATGCTGTAATTAGATCTCTACACTTACCTTACATAACTGCAACTTTGTACCCTTTGACCAGCATCTCCCTGTTTTCCCCACCTGCTTGCCCCTGGCAACCACCATTCTACTCTCTGCTTCTACATATTCTCCTTTTTTAGATTCCACATATAAGTGAGATGATGCAGTATTTGCCTTTCTGTGTCTAGCTTAATTCGCTCAGCATAATGTCCTTCAGGTTCATCCATGTTGTTACAAATGGCAGGATCTCCTTCTTGTTAAGGCTGAGTAATATTCAGCCTTATATATTATGTATATATACCACATTTTCTTTATCCATTCCTCCATCAATGGGCACTCAGGTTGTTTCTGTATGTTGGCTATTGTGAATAACGCTGCAGTGAACATGGGTTGCTCCCTGTATCTTAATGCTCACAGCCTCTGTGCTATCACAGGCACCCACCCTCTGTGTTGGGCTTTTGCCGTGATCTTCTCTACTGCCTCTCTCCTCCCTGCTGCTTGCTCCTCTAGCCTCGTCTCCAGGCTTCCCTTCAAAGTGCCATCCATAAATTTAGATGGAAATTTAATCACAGTCCTCCCAAAGCTCAATGTCTTCAGGGACTCCTCATCATATATACTAGAGAGATTCTTGACAACTGGCCCCCCATGATAAGTATCCATAAATATTGGTTAAATGAATAAAACACTTTGCTTTGTGGGGTCAGTTTCCACTTTAGAACTAATTTTCACTGTACACTTAGCACTTTATAGATCTCCAATCATAGTTCTATTATTTTCCCTGTATTTTCATAGAAAATTGGATTGATAAACCCTTTCTTCCCTTTTATACATTTAAACAGATACAGATGTCATCGTGGAGAGGAAGAGAAGAGGGAGCCCTGCTGTAACACTTCTCATTAGAAAACCTAAAGAAATATCTGTGGATATAATCCTGGCTTTGGAATCAAAAAGCAGTTGGCCTGCTAGCACCAAGGAAGGCCTGCCCATCAATAACTGGCTTGGAACAAAAGTTAAGAACAGTCTAAGACGACAGCCGTTTTACCTGGTACCCAAGCATGCAAAGGAAGGAAATGGTTTTCAAGGTATCTTGAATGTGAAGCTTAATTTAAAGATATATAAAAGAATCGTTAATGTTATATACTAGGACAGTAAAAAATCAGTGAATGCTGTTGCATTTCAAGAGCCATTAGGCTAAATAGGCTACAAGATGGGAGTTTGGTAAGAGATGGAATTGAAAAGGGCATAGTTATAGTAATAATATCAAATACTCATCTTTAAAATGTCTATTAGCCCACATTCAAATGTTATTTTTGTTTGATTATTTTTAATAAAGAAAGGAAGTACTGGCCTTGGAGTCAGACTGCCCTGGATCTGAATCTTGAAGATTCTTCTTTTACTAGCTATGTGGTCTTGGGCTAGTTACCAAGCCTCTCTAAACTGTTTGCTCATCTGTGTACTGGGTTCATCAAAGCTGCTGGAAAGATTCTGGGAAGATAGACGTGAGACAGTGCATGTAAAATCCCGTGTTATGTTCCCGGCAGTTGCACATCATTAATATCCTCAGAGCCCAGGCTCTCATTCCCAGCCCTATTTCTCTCTTTCCTACATCTTCTCCTTCCACGGCTCCCCATGCAGCTGGCAGACCTTTTTTGCAGCCTCAGCTGTGGTTGGGCACAGTGGTGAGGTCTCCTTCTCACCTGTGTACCCTGGCTTCACACATCAGGATAGATTTTCGGGTGGTACTCTTAGGCAGTATTCAACTTCTGAGAACTGGGCTGCGTTAGTCTACAGATAAAACTGAATATTGGTGCTATTTTCTCAGGTGGCAGAAGAAAATTCGCTGATTATTTTCTTTTTGTCTTATAAATTTGTATAAGGACTCCAGGGAAATTGGAGGAGACCACAAAAAAATGAACCAAGTTAGAATGAGTGTTGCTAAACAGATCCCAGAAGTGGTCAATCACGCTTAGTGTGATGGCTTATGGTTTTGTGGACACACACCACAACTTTTTATTTTGCATATATATAGGGTCATTTTCTGCAAGAAAAGATGTTTATAAGAGGGAATTTTGTATATTGTTATCTGTAGCTTTGCAGAAGGAACATAGCTTTCTGCGAAGCAGGGTTGCACCCCTGAACAATTTCTAGAATGGCTGCCACAGGAAACCCCCAGCATATGTGATGCAGAAATCTCAGCATGACCCATGCCTCTCTCCTGTTGGCCCTCTACCGACCGCCTTGGGGAAGACTGGGAGACAGATCAGCTTAGAGATGAGAAAGTGTCCTCAGTGGCCCTGTGGCTGTACAAAGGCCACTGTGGTTGGATAATTGCTCACATCCTTGTGTTAAGATGAAAGTGGAGGCTGGTGATGGGTACTTACCTGACCTCTGCTGTCTGTTACCCTTGGCTGTTCTCCATCTCCCATCATTCCAGACTATCGATATTCAGGCAAAACCGTGCCTCTCTGTGTGTGTGTGTGTGTGTCCCCAGGTGACTGAACAGAGGATATTAGTAATGAAAATCCTTGGATTAGATTGCCTGGCTTTTTTCTTTCCAAACGTTTTTACTAGACATTTCCTGCTCTCACAAACTATATTTTTAAGAATATAATTTGTTTGATTTTTAATTAAAAATTTCAAATTTGTTTTTTTAATCTACCCACCTGTTTCAAAATAATAATACCAGTATTATTACCTAGAGTATAATTTTAAAAAAAATTGAAGATTTCTTTGCAGTTCTTTTGTTCTTAAGATAAAAGGACAGCCCAAATATCAAGTTTAAACCCACTTGAAAAAATTTCTCCAGCTACCCACTTCAACATAGTTAAATTTGTTCATTATGGTTTCTAATTTTAGATACTGGATTTAAATTTTGATTTAATTTTGTTTTATAAGCATTTTGTTTTAAAAGCATTCATGTGGTTCCCAAACAGAAAAAGGTCTTAGAGAAAGATAGCTTCCATTCATGTCCCCTCTCCACTCTTCTCTCCTTCCCTGATTGGAAACCCTTTAAATTGTTTTTGGTTTACCTTTACATTTTTTAAAAAGTAAGTACCTATATATATATATGTATATGATATATATATATATATATATATATATATATATATACACACGTATGCATATGCTACCTCCCTTTTTAAGATAAAAAGTACACCTTCCTCTTTTCACATAATAAGATATCCTGGACATCACGCCATAGCTCTATATTGAGGTAGCACCCACTGCTTTTTACATTCTATTTTTACAGCTGGTCAGGAAGTAAATACACATGTAATTTCACTAGATATTGCCCAAATCACCCCCACAGGGATTGCACCAGTTTGCACTCCCACAGCAATGCGTAAGAGTACTTGTTTCACCATCAGCCTTATGAACAGAGTTCAGTAAACTTTGGAATTTTTGCCAATAATCCAAAAAGTAAGAAATATTTCAGTGTAGTTTTTTAAAATAAAGTTTTAATTGTAGAATAGTTTTAGATTTAGAGACAGATTGCACAGATAGTAGAGTTCCTATATACCCATACATATTTCCCTATTATTAACATCTTACATTAATATGATACATTTGTAACAATTAATGAACCAGTATTGATACAGTATTGTTAACTAAAGTCCTTACTGTATTCAAGTTTCTTTTGTTTTACCTAATATACCTTGCCTGCTCCGCGACCCCATCCAGGACCTCACATGACATTAGTCCCTATGTCTCCTCAGGCTCCTCTTGACTGTGACAGTTTCTCAGTCTTGCCTTGTTTTTGATGACCTCGACAGTTTTGAGTAATACCAGTCAGGTATTTTGTAGAATGTCCCTTGTCTGGCATGTGTCTGATGTTTTTCTCAGGATTAGACTAGAGTTCTGGGTTTTGGGAGGAAGACCACAGAGGTGAAGTACCATTCTCATCACATGATATCAAGGGCACATGACTTAGCACTGTTGATGTTGACCTTGGTCACCTGGCTGAGGTCGTGTTTGTCAGGTTTCTCCACTGTTAAATTACTCTTTTTCTCCCTTTTCATACTGTACTATTTGGAAGGGAGCCACTGTGCACCGTTCATGCTTAAGGATTGGGGAGTTATGCTCCACTTCTTTAAGAGCAGAGTATTTACACGAATTATTTGGAGTTCTTTTGCATGGGAGATTTGTCTCTTCTCCCCCATTTATTCATTTCCTAAATCATTTATATCAGTATGGACGCATGGATATTTGTTTTATACTTTGGGCTGTAATCCAATACTACTTTATTTATTTTATTGCTAAAGTCGTTCCAGCTTTGGCCTTTAGGATCTCTTTCAGTTGGCTCCTGTGTCCTTTTGACATAACCCCCATATTTGTGGGGTTTTTGTGTTTTCAGCACTAACTCACTTTTTGGCACTACAAGAAGCTCCAGGCTCATCTTGTGTATTTCCTGCTTCAGTCCTAGAATCAGTCATTTCTCCAAGGAGCCCTGAATCCTTTTGTTGGAGAATATACTAGAAAATAAGATCTGGGTGCCATGTGTGCTCTGCTACTAAGGTGTCATCCCTCTCGGTTGAAGGAGCAAGGAAATATATGTATTTATACTAACCTTAGTATAAATGCGTATGTACACATATTTCTATCTATAATCACTGGTACTATATTAAGTTATACGTGAGTTCATACTGATGTCTCTAACTATAATCCATCATCACATGGATCATTCTAACCTTCTCTCCTTGCTGTCTGTGACTTCTCATTCCAGTGGTGAAAAACTTGGCGCCCACCGTCTGACACCTGTTTGCTTCATTGTTCAGTGCTAGTACACATGCACAGTTGTTCAGAGTTGTGAACCCACCCCCCGTGGGAAGCCACTGTCAACTAGAGTACAGTGCTTGGGTACGATTCCTTTTGCCTTCAGTCTTACAGACCTTGTTTCCAAAGTAACTTAGGTCAGCCCCTTTTGCCCCACCCCCTTCAGGGAGGTTGTTACATGCATTTGTAGTGCAGTTAGAATCCCTTTTCACAGTCTGCATTATTTGCTGGATCCTTTGACTTCCTAAATTATTTTTTTTAAAGTTTGCATACATTAAGGTTCACTCTTTGTGCTATAAAGTTCTACTGGTTTTGACAAATGCATTGTATCATGTATCTATCCTTACGTAATAGTTTCACTGCCCTAAAACGTCCCCTATGCTTCACTTCTTCAACCCTCCTCATCCCAAATCTTTGGCAACCACTGATCTGTTTACCATCTCTATAGTTTTGCCTTTTCTAGAATGGCATAAATGGAGTTCATAAATGGATTTATACAGTAGCAATGAACACACTCAACTCTGCCACCTTCTCCATATTATCCATATAATTGTGTAGCTGTTAACTACACTCTTTATTCTGTCCCACTAAAATATTTCTCTATCCTTTCACTATACCTTATTGTCATACAGAATGTGGCTTTTCTAAGTCTTGATATCTGGTAGGATAAGTTCTCCTCTTTGTCCTTCTTTAAGAGTGTTTTAGATATTCTTGACCTTTGTATTTCATCAAAATTTTGGTATCATCTTGTCAAGTTCCACAAAAACATTTTTTTGGAATTTTGATTGAGAGTACGTTTAATCTATAGGTGAATTTGGGGAGACGTGATATATTTACAAGGAATCTTCCAATCCATGTATGGATACACATCTCCATTTATTTAGATTTTCTCTAATACTTCTCAATGGAGTTTTAGAGTTTTCTCCACTGAAGTTTTGTATGTCTTTCGTTACATTTACTCACAGTAATTGTACTTTTTTATTATGAGAAATTTTAAACCAATAGGAAAGTAGGCTGGAGAATATATTGAACTCACATGTACTTGTCACCCATCTTCTTTTCTACATACGCAATTATATCATCTATCAGTAATGATAGCTGTGTTTCTCCCTTTCCAATGCTATAACCCTGTTTTTCCTTCCCTTACTATACTTGCTAGGATAGCCAGTGCATGTTGAACAGATATGGGGATAGCAGATATGCTGCCTTCCTGATTTCAAAGGGAAAACTTCAGCTTGTTACCTTATATTATCATGCTACTGTTTTTTTTTTAAAATCTACCTTTCATCAGATCAAGTTTCCATCCAGATGTAAATTGCTGAGAGGTGGGTTTTTTTAAACTGATGAATGAATCTTAAATTTTATTAGCTGCATTTTCTGTTTCTGTTGAGAAGATCTTATCTTTCGCCTCTATTCTGTTAATGTGTCAGACTATATTGATTGATTTTTAAATTATAAACCAATCATGCATTCCCACTATAAAACCAACTAGGTAATAGGATGGTCAGAGCTTAAAAGAGCCAGCCTTGGTAAAACTTGGGGAGAACAGGGGAATCATTCTATTCTAACATAAACTCTCCCAAGGAATAGAAAGAAAGGAAATGCCCCCTAGTTCATTTTACATGAATACCAAAACTTGCAAAGATGGTGTAACAAATAAACAAAATACAAACACAAGGATAGTATGCAAAAATAAACAAAATACATGTTACCATGGCTAACTTATTAAACTCTGACGTCTCTCCCCCATTTTTTCCTATCTTAGCCCATTGTTCGCTTCAAATCATTTGTTTTAATTTATATTTACATTATTTATCTGTTCACTTCTTTTAGTCTATCTCCTCCTGATAAGGAAGGAAATCACTTAAATATTGTGTTGTTTATATATGCATGTTTTTGGTAAAGTGCTTTTCTGTTTTTCTTTTGGAAATTAAGAAGAAACATGGCGGCTCTCCTTCTCTCACATTGAAAAGGATATCTTGAAAAATCATGGACAGTCTAAAACATGCTGTGAGACTCACGGAGTGAAATGTTGCAGGTAGCCTCCTTATTTTGTTAAGTGGGGGATTATCTATGGAATGTTTAGTTCTTTGTTGACTCCATAGCTCAAACCTGAAGATGATCATTGCTGGGTTGAGTCCTGGGGGCAGTGCATGGCTGGGTTGACTTGGAGTATTATCTAGAGGGTGAGCATGAAGCCAGGGGACCAGAGCTAAAGGACCAAGGAAAGAGTATTGTTAGAAGGCAAGGCCAGGGACCACAGGCCTGAACCTGGATCAGGTGGGTGTGTACAGAGAGATGGAGTGTGAACACTAGCCATGACTCGCCAAGACAATTGGGTGTATTTTAGTATTCTGGTTGCTTCGAGGTAATGAATATTAATATCACGCAATGGGAGGAGGCCAAAGGATCACTTTTACTGGATACTGGTGCTTGCTTTGAGATGGTTTGGCTGCATTGAAGGCTGGAGACTGACGGGCTAAACTTGAAATAACGCTAAGAGATGGGTAGTTATTTATCTTGGTAGCATACACACCAAAAAGAACTGAGGTTGAAAAGGAATCATTCAAGCTTCTTCAGTTGTCCAGTAAAAGGGTCACAAAAGTTAAAAGGTCAAAACAAGAATGCCCAACGTGCAGGTGCAGGATGCTTCTTTAAGGCTTCATATGCAGGCTCTGAAGCAAACTTTAAGAAAAGTATATTGCTGATAAGGCTAAATAATTTTATAAACATTAAATTTTGTCAACTACTAAATAACTGGATGCATAGTCTAAATATTTGCAGTCTAATAGGGCAGAATAATTTTATAAAAATGTAAACAAGATAGGGGCTGGCCCCGTGGCCGAGAGGTTAAGTTCGCGCGCTCTGCTGCAGGCAGCCCAGTGTTTCATTGGTTCGAATCCTGGGCGCGGACATGGCACTGCTCATCAGACCACGCTGAGGCAGCGTCCCACATGCCACAACTAGAAGAACCCACAACAAAGAATATACAACTATGTACCGGGGGGCTTTGGGGAGAAAAAGGAAATAATAAAATCTTAAAAAAAAAAAATGTAAACAGGATTTTTTCTAGGTGTTAAGTAAGTGAATGAGTAATATAAATATGTGCCAGTTTCAAATAGTTGAATTGATCCTGATAGAATAAAATATTTAAGCTAGGAATGGGGAAAAGGGAGGAAAAAAATGTTTTTGAAACTTCAAAGCATATATTTGAAAAAATAATCAGATTTTAGAGTGACTCTATATTTGTATTATTTATATATCTTTATTATTTTTGTATCTTTATTAAGACCTGTATTTTTTTTGGTATCTTCATATGTTTATCCTATAAGATGCCTGAAGCTCTTTGTGGAATGAAACAGATTGTAAATAAGTAAAAATAAATGGTTTTCTTTTTTATTCAACAGGAAAGATTGTTTAAAACTAATGAAATATCTATTAGAACAACTGAAAAAAAAGTTCGGAAACCGAAAGGAACTGGATAAGTTCTGTTCTTATCATGTGAAGACTGCCTTCTTTCATGTATGTACCCAGGACCCACATGACAGTCAGTGGCACTCCAATGACCTGGAATCCTGCTTTGATAACTGCGTGACGTACTTTCTTCACTGCCTCAAGACAGAACGGCTTGAGCATTATTTTATTCCCGGAGTGAATCTGTTCTCTCAAGACCAAATTGAAAAAATAAGTAAAGAATTTCTCTCAAAGCAAATTGAATATGAGAGAAACAATGGATATCCAGTTTTTGGTGAATTTTGAAATTATGTTTTTAAAAAGAATCAAGAATTAGAGTGACTGTATGACGTTGGAATGTTTGAAATTTGTTGCAGCAATGATTGACTAAAATGAATGTAAATATTTAGCTTTCAGTTTGTTTTAATAAACGCTAATCAGTATGAAAGGATTGATTGTCCTAGGAAAGAGATTAGTTAAGGAATAAGCAGGAAAAGGAGTATTTAAAATCTGAAAGCTTACCAGATTGGAATGAAGAGAAGGACAGAATGTGCATCACATTAATTGAGTTTATTGCGCACTTAATTGAGCACCGCTCCTCACCAAGCGTGGGTGCGTGGAGGCTGCAAGAGACTATATTGAAAATGGTCACAGCCTCCATAAAACTGGTAGGTTTTGCTCAACATACATGTATTTGTGAGCAATGGCCTCGCCTACGTGTTAGCACATGTCGAAGGAAATGAGATAATAAGCTCTACATTGTCATGTAGACATGTATGTCTCGAAATTCATAATCTTATAGAAAATATAGGGTACTTCGATACACATGGCTAAATATAAAACATAGAACTTCTTTTATTTATTTTTATTTTCAGTAACACTTTTGTATGTCTTTCTGAAAAGGCAATGTATACACATAACACAAAACTCAAAGAAATGGGTGTGAAGTAAAATGTCAGCCTCTCTCCTCTGTGCTTGGGCCGTTCGACCTAGGGGCAGCTGCTGGCTTTTAACTTCTTTGTATTCATATATTTTGTACGTTTTCTTATTGGCTATTTTATCGTTTTCTCATTGTTTTATAGAAATTCTTTATATATTTTGGATACTTATAGTTTGTGGGTTGTCTATATAATGAGTAACTTCTCCCACTGTGTGGATCGTCTTTACTGTTTTACTCTCTTTTAGTAAACAATTTAAAATTTTAGTGTAGTTGAATTTACTAGTCTTCTCCTTTATGGTCTGTGCATTTTATGTATCTTTTTTAACAGCCTACTTTGTTTGAACATACCAAGAGAAAAGTTAGACATTTGGAGGAGAGTTTGGGGGACAATAAATGATAAATAGAAAACTAGGCAAACAAATCCAAAAAAAAATCCAACCGACTGATTTTTTTTAATCGAGGTCATCACAGTTTACAACATTGTGAAAATTCAGTTGTACATTATTGTTGGTCAGTCACCATATAGATGCACCCCTTCACCCTTTGTACCCACGCCGTACCCTCATCCACCTGGTAACCACTAAATAGTTCTCTTTGTCCATGTGTTTATCTTCCACATATGAGTGAAATCATATGGTGTTTGTGTTTCTCTGTCTGCCTTATTTCGCTTAACATAATACCTTCAAGGTCCATCCATGTTATTGTGACTGTGACGATTGTCTTTTTTTCTGGCTGAGTAGTATTCCACAGTCTATGTATACCACATCTTCTTTATCCAGTCATCAGTTGATGGGCACTTGGGTTGCTTCCACGTCTTGGCGATTGTGAATAATGTTGCAGTGAACATAGGGGTGCATAAGTCTCCTTGAATTGTTGATTTCAAGTTCTTTGGATAAATACCCAGTAGTGGGATAGCTGGGTCATATGATTTGTATTTTTAATTTTTTTGAGAAATCTCCATACTGTTTTCCATAGTGGCTGCACCAGTTTGCATTCCCACCAGCAGTGTATGAGGGTGCCCTTTTCTCCACATCCTCTCCAACACTTGTTATTTTTTGTCTTGGTTATTATAGCCATTCTGACTAGTGTAAGGTGATATCTTAGTGTAGTTTTGATTTGCATTTCCCTGCTGATCAGTGATCTTGAGCATCTTTTCATGTGCCTGTTGGTCATTTGTATATCTTCTTTGAAGAAATGTCTGTTCATATTGTCTGCCCATTTTTTGATCAGGTTGTTTGACTTTTTTTGTTGTTGTTGAATTGTGTGAGTTCTTTGTATATTATGGAGATTAACCCCTTGTCGGATATGTGATTTCCAAATATTTTCTCCTAGCTGGTGGGTTGTCTTTTCGTTTTGTTCCTGGTTTCCTTTGCCCTTTAGTCTGATGAAGTCCCATTTGTTTATTTTTTCTTTTGTTTCCCTTGTCTGAGGAGACACGGTATTCGAAAAGATCCTTTTAATACCGATGTCAAAGAGTGTACTGCCTATGTTTTCTTCCAGAAGTTTTATGGTTTCAGGTCTTCAAGTCTTTTGGGTTTAATTTTGTGTATGGTTTAAGAGAATGGTCTACTTTCATTCTTTTGCATGTGGCTGTCCAGTTTTCCCAACACCATTTATTGAAGAGACTTTCCTTTCTCCATTGTATGTTCTGAGCTCCTTTGTCAAAGGTTAGCTGTCCACAGATGTGTGGTTTTATTTCTGGGCTTTCAATTCTATTCCATTAGTCTGTCTGTCTGTTTTTTTTATCAGTACCATGCTATTTTGAACACTATAGTTTTGTAGCATATTTTGAAGTCAGGGATTGTGATGCCTCCAGCTTTGTTGTTTTTTCTCAGGATTTCTTTACCCATTTGGGGTCTTTTGTTGCCCCATATGAGGTTTAGGATTCTTTGTTCTATTTCTGTGAAGAATGTCATTCGGATTCTGATTGGGATTGCATTGAATCTGTAGATTGCTTTAGGCAATATGGACATTTTAACTGTGTTTATTCTTCATCCATGTGCATGGCATGTCTTTCCATTTCTTTATGTCATCATCAATTTCTTTCAGTAATGTCTTGTAGTTTTCATTGTATAGGTCTTTCACTTCCTTGGTTAAATTTATTCCAAGATATTTTATTCTTTTTTTGTTATTGTGAATGGGATTGTGTTCTTCAGTTATTTTTATGTTATTTTGTTGTTAGAGTATAGAAATGCAACTGACTTTTGTAAGTTGACTTTGCTGTGACTTTGCTGTGGTTGTTGATTATTTCTAATAGTTTTCTGGTGGGTTCTTCAGGGTTTTCTATATATAAAATCATGTCATCTGCAAACAGCAAGAGTTTCACTTTTTCATTGCCTATTTGGATTCCTTTTATTTCTTTTTCCTGCCTAATTGCTCTGGCCAAAACCTCCAGTACTATGTTGAATAAGAGTGGTGAGAATGGGCATCCTTGTCGTGTTCCTGTTCTCAAAGGGATGGCTTTCAGTTTTTCCCCATTGAGTATGATGTCCGCTGTGGATTTGTCATATATGGCCTTTATTGAGTTGAGGTATTTTCCTTCTATACCCATTTTATTGAGAGTTTTTATCATAAGTGGATGTTGGATCTTATCAAATGCATTCTATGCCTCTGTTGAGATGATCATGTGGTTTTTGTTCCTCATTTTGTTAATGTAGTGTGTCACATTGATTGACTTGCAGATGTTGAACCACCCCTGTCTCCCTGGTGTAAATCCCACTTGATCATGGTGTACGATCTTTTTAAGGTATTGCTGAATTTGGTTTGCCAATATTTTGTTGAGGATTTTTGCATCTAAATTCATCAACAATATTGGCCTGAATTTTTCTTCTTTGTGTTGTCCTTGTCTGGCTTTGATATCAGGGTGATGTTGGCCTTGTAGAATGTGTTAGGAAGTGATCCATCTTCTCCAATTTTTTGGAATAGTTTGAGTAGGCTAGGTATTAAATCTTCTTTCAGTGTTTGGTAGAACTCTCCAGAGAAGCCATGCGGTCCTGGACTTTTATGTTTTGGGAAGTTTTTGAATACTGTTTCAATCTCTTTACTTGTGATTGGTCTATTCAGATTCTGTTTCTTATTGACCCAGTTTTGGGAGGTTGTAAGAGTCTGCGAATTTATCCATTTCTTCTGGATTGTCCAATTTGTTGGCATATAGTTTTTCATAGCATTCTCTTATGTTTTGTATTTCTGTGGTATCCATTGTAATTTCTCCTCTTTCATTTCTAAATTTATTTATTTGAGCCTTCTCTCTTTTTTTCTCAGTGAGCCTGGCTAAAGGTTTGTCAATTTTGTTTGTCTTCTTGAAGAACCAGCTGTTTGATTCATTGATCCTTTCTACTATCTTTTTTGTTTCAATTTCATTTATTTCTGCTCTAATTTTTATTATTTCCCTTCTTATGCTGACTCTGAGCTCTGTTTCTTCTTTTTCTAATTCTATTAAGTGTAATTTGAGATTGCTTATTTGAGATTTTTCTTGTTTGTTAAGGTGGGCCTGTATTGCCATGAATTTCCCTCTTAGAACTCATTTCCTGCATCCCAGATGAGTTGGTATGTTGTGTTTACATTTTCATTTGTCTCCAGATAATTTTTGATTTCTCCTTTAATTTCTTCAATTATCCATTGTTGTTCAGTAGTATGTTGTTTAATATCCATACCTTTACCCCTTTTCCAGCTTTTTTCTTGTAGTTGACTTCTAGTTTCATAGCATTATGGTCAGAAAAGATGATATTTTGATCTTCTTAAATTTATTGAGGCTTGCTTTGTTTCCCAACATATGGTCTATCCTTGAGAATATTCCATGAGCACTTGAGAAGAATGTGTAACCTGCTGTTTTTGGACAGAGTGTTCTGTTATACTTATTAAGTCCATCTGGTGTAGTATTTAATTTAATTCTTTAATTTCCTTGTTGACTTTCTGTCTGGCTGATCTGTCCATTGGTGTAAGTTGGGTGTTGAGGTCCCCTACTATTATTGTATTGTTGTTAATATCTCATTTTAGGTTTGTTGATAGTTGTTTTATGTACTTTGGTGCTCCTGTATTGCATTTAGAAATATTTATTAGTGTAATGTTTTCTTGGTGGAGTTCCCTTTTATCATTATATACTGCCCCTCTTTGTCTCTCTTTACCTGTTTTGTCTTGAGGTCTACTTGGTCTGATATAAATATGGCAACACCTGCTTTCTTTTGTTCACTGTTAGCTTGGAGTATCGTCTTCCATCCCTTCACTCACTTGAAGTCTCTGTTTGTCTTTGGGGCTGAGATGTGTTTCCTGGAGGCAGCATGTTGTTGGGTCTTGTTTTTTAATCCATTCAGCCACTCTGTGTCTTTTTATTGGAGAAGTCAATCCATTTACTTTTAGAGTGACTATGGATATATGAGGGCCGAGTGCTGCCATTTTGTCGCTCATTTTCTGGTTCTCCTGCATTTCCTTTGTTTCTCGTCCCATGTATTTTGGACTACCAATTCAGTTAGGTAGTTTTCTATGCTCGTTTTCTCCTTATTCATCATTTGTGTCTCTGTTCTAGTTATTTGTTTAGTGGTTACCATGAGGTTTGTATAAAATAATCTCATAGATGATATAGTCCATTTTCTGATAGCCTCTTATTTCCTTAGACTAAACTGGTTCCATCCCTTTCCACTTCCCCTTCTAAGTTGTTATTGTCACATCTTATTTCATCATATATTGTGAGTTTGTGGTTAAAATGACAAGATTATATTTATTTTTGGTGTTTTCCTTCCCTTTATCTTAAATGTTATAATTAAGCATTTGCTAACCTGTTCTGATGGAGAGCTGCAGTTTTCTGATTTTGTCTTTCTATTTATCTCCTTGCTCAGGGTTTTGTAACTCTTTTTTTTTTTTTTTTCAGGTATGAGGGCCTTCTTGAGGATTTGTTGTAGGGGTGGGGGGTCTTGTGGCGATGAACTCCCTTAACTTTTGTTTGTCTGAGAAAGTTTTATTTCTCCATCATATCTGAAGGATATTTTCACTGGATAGAGTATTCTTGGTGAAAGTTTTTTTCTTTCAGAATGTTGAATATCATTCCAGTCTCTCCCAGCCTGTAAGGTTTCTGCTGAAAAATCCGCTGAAGGCCTGATAGGGGTTCCTTTGTAAGTTATTTTCTTCTGCCTTGCTGCCCTTAATATTTTTTCTTTGTCAGTGATTTTTGCCAGCTTTACTACTACTATATGCCTTGGAGTTGGTCTTTTCACATTGATAAAGTTTGGATATCTGTTGACTTCTGTCACATGGATTTCCAGCTCCTTCCCCAGGT